AGACGAGGCTCTGCTTCACAGGGGGAGCGTCTGCACCTTACAATCAGCCATTTACAATGGTTGAGCTCGAAGTGGCTCTCAACTCCCGCAAGAATTCTGCCCCTGGTCCCGATAGAATTCACTACGACATGATCCGACACTTATCTAGAGAGTCACTTAGTGCTCTTCTCACATACTTCAATGGCCTGTGGTGTGATGCTTACTTCCCTGTTGAATGGAAGCGGGCTGAAGTTATACCGCTGTTGAAACCTGGCAAGGACCCCTCCCTTCCTGCAAGTTACAGACCAATAGCATTGTCAATTTGTCTGGGGAAAACCTTTGAAAGATTAATTAACAGACGTCTTATTTATTTTCTCGAGCAACATACTATCTTGGATACTAATCAGTGTGGCTCTCGTCCTGAGCGCTCTACAATAGACCACTTGGTGCGGCTGGAGACCTTTGTGCGCGAGGCATTCGTCAACAGGCAGCATTGTGTATCATTTTTCTTTGATTTAGACAAGGCCTATGACACCACTTGGAAGTATGGCATCTTGCACGACCTTTTTGTGTACGGAATACGCGGTAGAATGCTTCAGTGTATAAAGAGATTTTTGTGTAAACGCACTTTTTGAGTTCGGTTGGGAACAACTTTATCAGACTGGTTTGTTCAAGAGAATGGTGTTCCTCATGGTGGAGTCTTAGCGCCACACTCTTTGCAATAAAAATTAACTCTCTTAGCAAAGTCATTCCTCCTTCAGTATCTTACTCGCTATATGTTGATGACATTCAGAAATCTGTGGCGTCATGTAATATGTCTAGCAGTGAGCGGCAGCTACAACTGGCCATAACTAAAATGACTACATGGGCTGATGAGAATGGTTTTAGGTTCTCTCCGGATAAAACTGTTTGTGTTCCTTTTTCTTTAAGGTGTGGCCTCTGTTTAGACACTACACTTCTGTTAAATAGAAACAACATTGCTGCCAAAACGGAGCACAAGTTTCTAGGAGTTACTTTCGACCGTAAACCTACCTTTGTTTCGCACCTCAAACAACTCAAGCAAAAAACTCTGCGGGCATCGAACATACTCAAAGTTCTTTCGCACAAGTCGTGGGGCTTGGATAGGAAATGTCTCCTTCGTCTATATTCTTCGCTCATTCGATCCCGCCTTGACTATGGCTCAATTGTCTATGCTTCTGCGAGACCGTCTGCTTTAAAAATGCTCGATCCAGTACATCACCTTGGGCTGCGTTTGGCATCTGGCGCTTTACGCACCTCTCCTGTGCTTAGCTTGTATGTTGACTGTCATGAAATGTCGCTTGAAAAAAGGCGACAGCTACATAGCCTCAACTATGTTTACAAAATGTTGTCGGACCCCAGCTCCCCCACTAATAGTTGTATTCAAAACTCTAGGTTTTCTCGCCTCTTTAACCATAAGCCAACTGTCGTGCGGCCCTTGAGCCTTCGTGTCGAGAGTCTTCGCTCCTCCCTCAATCTGTCTCATGATTTTAACCTCTTGAATAGTTCATACCATAGTGCCCCATGGAATGTCAAACCCATTTTGTGTGACTGGTGCTTCACAAAATTCAGGAAGCAGAGTCTCACCTTTAATTTTACAACAGGAATTCTTTGCATTGGAGGAAAAATACAAAGATTATAATCATTATTACACTGATGGTGCAAAGTCGTCAATGTATGTTGGTGCGGCTGTATACTCTTCTCGTTTTTCCAAAGTCGCTCGTCTAAATACTCTTGCCAGTATTTTTACTGCCGAGCTGTATGGGGTCATGATGGCGCTTGACCATATAGTTCAGAGTAAAATAAAGAAAGCCATCATCTTTGTAGATTCTCAGAGTGTTATTCGGGCTGTATGTTCTGTTTTATCAACAAAGAATCGGCTGACCCGGACTGTGCGTGTTAAGGTACAGCAGGGCCTACAGGACGGTCACGACATTAGGTTTTGCTGGATTCCTAGCCATGTGGGCATTGCAGGCAAAGAGGCTGCAGATAAACTGGCCGTCTCTTCGCAAAATCTTCCCGTGTCACATGTCCGCATCCCCCACCAAGACTTAAAAATGCCTATAAGACTTGCAGTCTTCCAATCCTGGCAGTCTGAGTGGGATGTAGAGGTTAACAATAAGCTTCACACCATCAAGCCAGACCTTGGTACCTGGGAAACATCTTACAATAAAAATAGATTCCACGAGGTCCTCATATGCCGCCTGAGAATCGGCCACACCTACTTCACCCATAGCTACCTGCTTACTAGTGAAGAACCTCCATCCTGTGAGCGCTGCGGTGAACCTCTGACTGTTCTTCATATTTTATTTCTTTGTCCTGGTCTTCGGCAGCAGCACAAATTCTTTTTTCCTGATCTTTTCAAGTATCGCATTCCATTCCACCCTGCCTTGCTGCTTGGTGAGCGGCCACTAATCTCATTCAAACGCCTTTTCGATTTCCTTGAAAATACCGGATTTTTAAACAAACTTTAGAACCATTCTGCTCCCCATAGTTTAATTCTACTCACCCTTTTTTACTGACTCACCTTGTTTGGCGCAGTATAGCCATTGATGCTCTTGCGCCATTAAAACCGCAAACAACAACAACATCTCCCTACTGGTGTGATGAGGTGTCCTCCGGTGGTTCTTTTTTGTGGTTCATCCCACGGCGTCATGGCTTTTCGAAGGCGGAGGGAGAGCCTCCCACTCAAGACTGAGTAGTCTGCTCCGGTGTCGACGAGTGCCGATCCGTCGAGGCCGTCGATAACAATGTTTAGGTTGGTGGACACCGATGCAGGAGCGTCGTTGTGATGCGTAGCGTCGGGAGAGTAAGAGCGCTCCGTCGTCCTTGGAGACTCTTTACGTCGGTCGTCTTCGGCAACTCCACCTCCAGGGGTTGCCGCGCCTAGTTTCCCCGGCGAGGAGCTAGGGGCGACAAGCTTTCACGTCGGGGTCGGTGCATCGGCGCAGCTGGACATCGCGGCATTGGTGACCGGAACTCTTGGCGGGACGCAGGCTCGGAAGACTGGGGTCGTCGCAGGTACTCGTCGATCTCCCGAGGGCGTTCACCATACCGGGGGCGCGGGTCGTTTGGGTGGAGTCCGCGCAGCCCGGGTCGTCGATATGGGCATCGGCGATACACATGGTCAGCTTCCCCGCAGTGGTAACACAGCGGGCGCCGGTCGGTCGTCCTCCAGACGTCTGTCGTCCTCGGCGCAGGTTGCTCTGGGTGAACGTGCGCCTGATCTTCCTGTCGTCGGGGGTACTGCGGCGTTGGGGCGTCTCTTCGGGGTGGAGCCGTGGCTTGGCGGGGAGCTTGCGGCGGTCGCCTGGCCACTGCGGCGTAGGTCAGCGTCGGCTCATCGGCTGCGGCCACGGTGAGAGGGGCATCCGGAAGGAACGCTCGCTGAACCTCATCCCGAACAATCTCGGCAATGGAGTTTGAGGCCGGGCGGTTAGCTGTCGGCAGAAGCTTCTTAAGCTCCTCCCGGACGACCTCGGGAATAAGCTCTCGAATGCCCGTGGTGCCGTGGGCAAGGTCGCAAGGGGACGGCGGAACCGCGCTAACGCCTGGTAGCCTCTGGTAGTGGCTGGCTAGGGCTTGCAGAGCACGCTCGGTGTTCGTCGCCTCTGTTACAAATCCTTGAACGGTCGTGGGTGGGTTACGTACGAGTCCACCGAAAATGTCGTCCTTCACGCCGATGATCAGAATACGCAGCTTCTTTTCCTTGGTGGCCTGAGGGTCGACGCGGTAGCTCAGGCGCAGGGCATCTTCTACTAAATTCGTTACGCTCTCATTGGGGCCCTGGGTCCTGGATTGCAGCAAATCTTCGGCCCTCTCTCTTCGGTGTTGATTGGCGAACGTACGCGTCAGCTTGTTCTTGCAAAGCTCCCATGAAGTCAAGGATCCTTCGTGGTTTTCGAACCAGCGCCTTGCAGTTCCTTCAAGCGAGAAACAGACGTTCTGCAGGCGCTGTTCGTCAGTCCACCCGTTCTGGCGAGCCACGCGCTCGTACTGGTTGATCCAGTCTTCGGCGTCCTCGTAGATCTCGCCGAGGAAGGGAGTAGGCGTCCGCGGAGCGACGGGCAGGACGACGACGGGCGGGGTGGTCATCGTAGGGATGTTCTTCTTCGGCTTCTGCAGCAGGGCTGCGGATCCCGGGAGTTGGACTTTGGAACGGCGGATTGCTCGGGCGTCGGCGTCTTCTGCGAAGGGTAGTCTTCCGGGGCTAAGCACCTTACTTGGCCGGGATGTCTTCGGAGGGGTACGCTTCACGAGCATATAATGCAATACCCAGCACTCCAACAAAATGTCACGAATGACAATTGATGAGACGATGATAACTGAAAAAACTCATCGTTTAATGGAGCGAACTTGTGCCCAAATATAAAAAGGAAACAAAAGATAACAGCAGAGCGTCGCGGGCGTCGATGTCGGCGAAACCGCAGGATCGAGCGCTGGGGCGAGACTGACTCTGCTCGCCTTGCGGAGTCCCTTATGTACGTACCCTCGTCCGTTTCTGGATCATTCGGCGAAGAAATTTCGGTGCGTAGAATATTCGGAACTAGATCAGACGAGAATGTTCTCGAACTTACGAGAGGGCGAAGTTAAAAGAATGAATAAAAGGAAAGTCCGCTGACTGAAATCGAAGCTACACCTACCACGCGAAAGTCAAGCGCGGTAACCACTCGTCCACGCACGCGCTTGCTCGCCGACGCGCGTGGCAATATCATCTGAAGCAGAACGCAAAGGTGGCGGACGGATAAAACACACCCAAAGGTGTCCTTTTTGTCTAATAGTGTCTTTTGGTTTTGTTATTTCTTGGGAATTGTTGGGCACTTGTCTCTTCAGACGGGAAGTCTCCCCAGGTACACCTTCGGTGACGTCATGTCGCTCCAGGAGCTTCATACCCCCATGTCTGGAAACCGCAATTGTGTAAAAGAGAGAAATGTACATCAATGAAAAGGAAAGAGCAACATAAATTAGGAATTCACTCGGAAGTAAAGCGAGTCAGGCAAAGGATGTCAAGCTCGAATGTGCGTGCTTTGTGTAATGTACAAATATTACTTGATACACAAAATAGACCGACATAGACATGAATGACTTAAGGCCAAGCTTATGCAGCGGAGTTTGCATTTCTCAAAGGAGAATATAAGCCGGATACTTCTTTCCAGGTTGATTCTCAGCAGACCATTACCGCCAATGATCTCTTAAAGAAGATACAAAGGTACGCTTTTGGGTTTCAACAACATGGCTTGAAGCCTGGCTCGAGGGTATGCACCCAACTCCGGAACACCATCGATAACATAGCCGCAGGACTGGCGGTTGTATTTGCTGGAGGGACACTTGTTATGGCGAAGACCTCCTACGTTGCAAGTGAGTGTCAATTAGTCACCAGAACGATATGAATGGCGGTCGTAATTGCAAACATAGTCCTAATGCTACCCAAATATGTTTAATGTGTGACGGTATTTTTGTTGTTGTTTTTTTTTTTTTTTTTCAGGGGAAGTAATATACACAATTCGAGACAGCGAATGCGATTACATCCTAACAGACAAGGATACAGCTCCAAATATTCTCAAAATTACCATGCCGTCAACCATTAAGGTAAGCGTGGTCGAAAATCCCAGATATATCATTGCAGTCATACTGATGGGCACGGTAAAGTTGTTCGCATTAACGCGATGCTGTGAACTTCAGTGAATACTGGCGACGAAAGTAACTGTTCACTGGTTTTAGAACCCCTGCAGTCAAGCTTCAACCCTCGCACTACAAATTTCAGTAGTAACCGGGTGACATTAAATCTAACAAGGCTTTGTAATTATTTTTAAAATTGAAGAATCATTGGGGAGCGTGCGCCATCAAAAAGGGCGCGCCGCTCCTCTTTAGCAACCAGAGCCAAAAATAGAGCTCTGTTGGCAACTGCTTGGAAACAGCACAAAAGACAAAGTCCGTATTACTTCACGTAGAGAAGCGCTGCCCGCTCCAATTTGTTTCTAATGCCAGCATGCCTTGGCCGCTACTGCGCCTACTCGCGAAGTGGTTTGTTGATCTCGTTCCGGAGTAGAGGTTTAGCACCTTGACATTCGTAAAAGTATCTATGTCCTCCATTCCTCCGTGAGCATGTGAGCGCACCAGCAATGCGGTTGTCTAATCCTTTTCGCTTCTTAATGTAGTTCTTTGTGCCCCTTTGCGCGGGCTTTTCCGCGTTACTCTCAGGCCGTGCCGGTGATAGCGTTCGCGCTTCTGCGAGCCTTGTGCTACTATCTGATTTTGGCATCGCCAAACGCAGCAAGTGGCTTCTTAGCAGCCTAGTGGGATTAGCATAAGCCATACACCAGGCCATCTACATCAACATCGCCATCACTCCCGGCGCAAGTTCAAAGAAACTGGCAGCCTCCATTAGCATTCAGTGGGCATGGGAACCTACCAGAAATGCATGTCGTCCGATTCTTTTCCCTTCCTTATGCAGGTCGCTTTATTTCCATCATTGTACTGTAAAACGTCTGACAACCCCTGCCCCCTGGTACCTCAAACCCACATGAGCTTTTGGCGTCTTTTAAACAGTGTGTTTGTCTCCCTGTATCGCGCCTGAGTTTAATTTTGTCTGGTGATATCGAGCTAAATCCCGGTTCCCCTAAGAATGGGAAAGAAAAGCAAATAGCCGATACCCTTTTGGTTACTTCAAAACCTTAGTTCCCGTTCAGTTAGATTCGATGAAGGGCAATCCCTGCTTGTTAACATTTAGGGTGCCATCAAAAATAAACAGCAGTCAAGTGAAAATGAGGTAACCACCGTCCACAGCAGACTCACTGTCATAGAACAAAATATATCCAGCGTTGACACCGTTCAGCTGGAATTAAAAGCCATAAGTCAAGCCGTCGGTTCTCTTCCCAAAGAAAACGCCAGTCTGCGCACTAGCCTACCTGAAACAGAAGACCGTTCCCGCAGAGAAAACTTAATCGTATATGAAATCCCCGATTCGCAGTCTTATACGTTGCCGATGTCAGAAGTTAAAGTGTGCAAAATAATAAAAAAAAACAAGCTTGACCTTGACATTTCTTCTGAAAGTGCTGTCCTTGGTTATGTTTTTAGCGGCGACAAGCACCGCCCGCTGATTGTAAAGCTTTTCTCTTTTAAAACGAAAGAAAAAGTGTTCGTTTCTAAACACCAACTTTGAGGTACTAACATTTCCATTTCTGAAGACTTCTCCATCGAAACACGCAATGTCAGAAGAACACTGACTGAGTTTGGTAGGCAAGTAACGAACCTTCTAAACTGCGCTATATTGTCACGAATGACAACTGATGAGGCGATGATAACTGAAGAAACTTAACGTTTAATGGGGCGAACTTGTGCCCAAAAATAAAAAGGAAACAAACGATAACAGAAGAGCGTCGCGGGCGTCAATGTCAGCGAAACCGCAGGATCGAGCGCTGGGGCGAGACTGATTCCGCTTGCCCCGCGGAGTCCCTCATGTACCCTCGTCCGTTTCTGGATCATTCGGCGTAGAAATTTGGGTGCGTAGAATATTCGGAACTAGATCAGACGAGAATGTTCTCAACCTTACGAGAAGGCACCAACTGAAAGAATGAATAAAAGGACAGTACGCTGACTGGAATCGAACCTACACCTACCGCGCAAAAGTCAAGCGTGGTAACCACTCATCCACGCACGCGCTTGCTCGCCGACGCGCGTGGCAATATTGAGTTATATGTAAACAATAAGTGCTATTTCTACTGTCGAAACGGTAACTGCGTTTTTGAACAGCCACCCCAATACAGTCCGAATTTCGCGACGATGAAGTTACATCGTCGTCATCATTAAAACAGAATAATCGCCGTGATAACCTCGCTCATTTTCCCAGTGAAATTCCAGTTTTATTAACTGATATCCGAACCGTTATGATTTGGTGTCGCTAATCGATCTTCATCTAGTGATATTGTGGTACTGACAAAAACTTGGCTTTCTAGTACAGTTCACGACAGCGAAATCTGGAAGTGCGATAAGTGTTTCTACTTGTATCTTTGAAAGAAAACACCAAGAAAAGGGTGCGGGGTTTTATTAGCAGTGAGCGAATATCTTGAATCTTTTCATGCAAATGTTACTACCTCACTCAAATCTGTATATGTGCGACAACAGTGTGCATATAAAAGTGTCTTCCTGTGCGTTTGTTATTGACCGCCGACAGCCCTGCAAGTGTTTTGGGGTATTTACTCGATGTTTTTATGAGATTTGTTCTCGATTTTCACTGACACATCTGTTTCTCTAGGACGATTTTAACCTTTCGGACATCGATTGGTCCGGACCTTTTTCCTCTGCTACTTGCAACTCTTCCCCCTATTCAGACTTCCTTAACTCTTGTTCTGATTCGAGCTTATCTCAGCTTGTAACTGAACCTACCCGAATTACTGATTCAACTTCCAATGTATTATACCTTATTCATACTACTACTTTGGATCTTATTTTTCCTGTTACTTCTTTAGCAGGCATCAGTTATCAGTCGGCGTTAGATTTCTACCTTCTTACAATTGTATGTGGTCCCATAATAGTGTCAAGCATTTTTTTTATTATAGCATGGCTAATTCTGACATAATCAACAACAAATTGGCTGTATGTAGTAAGGAATATTTGCCTAGCTTCTATCAGCGCTGCGGTGATGAAAATTGGAATATGTTTAAAAGCAAAGTGAACTCACTCATTTCCTCCTTCACTCCGCTTAGATTTGTCACTTCAAACTCCGCGTCCCCCTGGTTCGATATCGTCCTCAAAAGATTATCCGATTAAAATAAACGTCTATTTCGATCGGCAAAAAATTATAATCGTGCCAAACATTGTGCCAAACAAACTTTTTTTGTAGTGTTATACCGCCCCCCATCCGGAAATTTCGGAAAGTTTTGCTCCTACCTTGAATCTATACTAACGAACCTCTTGTATAAAAACGAAAATATTGTAATAATGGGAGACATCAACATCGATCTACTTTGTGATACAACTAATCAGCAGCAATTCCACGACCTAATACAGTCCTACGGCTGTGCGAACTTGATAAATATTCCAACAAGAGTGACGTCACGGAGTAGCACCCTTATCGATGTCTGCATTACAAATATAAACCCACTGGACGCCGTTCCTGGGGTGTTCTTGGCGGATATGAGTGACCATTTCCCTTTGTTCTGCTTCCTTTCGCACCTTAAACCCTCCCGCAGTTTACCGCAATCAAGTATTAATTTTTTTCAAAAAATTGATCACCACAGTTTAGAAACTTTTTATAATCTAATATCTGAAGTAAACTGGGAAGACGTGATGTCTTGTCAAAATGTCGAAGAATCTTATGCTGTTTTCTTTGCAGAACTGCAAAAGTGCTATGACGCAGCATTTCCTTTACAGAAATTTAGAGTAGGACGCAAAAAATGCAGAAAACCATGGTTGTCGAATGACTTGGTAAAACGTATAAATAAAAAAAATAGGATCTTTCAAAAATTTCAGAAGACTCGCGATAACAGCATATTTAAAGAATATAAGCAGTGCAGGAATGCACTGAACCGTGACATTAAGAAGGCGAAAGCGCAGTATCATATTAGTAAATTCGACAATCTTCGAAATGATCCAAAACGTACCTGGAGTGCCCTAAAATCTATTATAATGCCAAATTCTAAGTCTGCCACTATAAATGAACTGCGAATGGGGTCCGATGTCTACAGAGGACGTGACATGGCTAATGCAATAAATGAATATTTTATAAACGTTGGTGCCCACAATGGTAAAAATACTACCGGACCTGAGACCTTCGCGCAAACGCACCTGAAGCATACAATTATGCTCTATCCTGTTACTTCCACTGAAGTTGAAGCGATAATAAGGACTTTGAAAAATAAGGGCTCCTGTGGAGATGATAATATAAAAGTTGCACCAATTAAACACGTGTCTTCCTTGATAAGTAAGCCACTAGAACACATAGCAAACCTTATGTTTGAAAGTGGTACTTTCCCAAGTCCGTTAAAAACTGCGAGAGTAACTGTAATACATAAAAGTGGCGACAAAGATAACATCAGTAACTATCGTCCGATTTCTATACTCCCAATTCTATCCAAGGTTTTTGAAAATCTAATAAATAACAGAGTACGAAATTTTCTAACATCTTTCTCGGCACTCTCGCCAGCACAGTACGGGTTTCAAAAAGGCAAATCAACTGAGCATGCAATATTGCACATCAAAGATAAGATTCTAAATAATTTTGAAAACAAGTTGCTTACACTTGGAGTATACTTGGATTTCCGAAAAGCGTTCGATAGCATCAATCATGACGTCTTATTACACAAACTGCCTCACTATGGCATTAGGGGAAAGGCCCTAGATTTAATAAGTAGCTTTCTGCAAAATCGCGAACAATATGTACAAATCAATGGTATTTGTTCCGACCACATGACACTTAAGTATGGGGTTCCGCAGGGTTCCATTTTAGGACCGTTACTTTTTATTATCTACCTTAACGACATAGTCAACATCGCAAACTCTCCAAGTTTAATTATGTACGCAGATGATACCAGTCTCTTTTTTTCTGGCCCTGCTATTGACGTCATTGAACGCGATGCAAATAATTATTT